TGCGGAGCGAGTTCACTGTATCTGTCCCGGTGCCGAATACGCAGAATGACGAGGCGACCGCAGCACCAGTCCCACCCGAACTTCCGCCTGGTGTTCGTGTGGAGTCGTATGGGTTGATAGTCTGCCCGCCCAGAGATGATACGCTGATGCCTTCCAAAGCAAGCTCGTGCAGGTTAGCCTTGCCGAGGATGATAGCTCCTGCCTTCTTGAAAGCAGCCACGCTTGGAGCGTCTTCAGACGGTTGCGAATGCGCCAAAGCCAAGTTTCCACCAGTGGTCGGCATATCCGCTGTATCGTAGTTGTCTTTGAGCAATATCGGGACGCAAAAGAGTGGACCAGTAGCATTGCCGGCCGAAAGCTGCTCATCCAGCTGATCGGCGATAGCCAAAGCATTGGGATTTAACGCAATGATTGCGTTTGTTCGGTTGTTGTTGGCTTCGATATTGGACAGGAATGAAGATACCACTTCGCGGCATGTTGAGAGTCTGGAGTAGAGCGCATGGTGTACCGAGTCGATGGTCGCTTCTCGTGCATCGAAAGGCATATTTTGGCTAGCTACCACGTGGCAGAGCGATGCAAATGCGAGGCGTGTGAAGTGCACCATTCTGAACGGCTGGTGTCAGTCTGTGTAGGGAAGGCGCGGCTTGCGGACATTTACCAGCTCATCGGAATTGCCATTTATACATCTCCTCATCCCAACGGCTTGTCATACATCACCGCGGGTAGTTATCGCGACTGCAATTGACGTGGAAAGCCCATGTTCGCATGTAGTCACGATGCTTGCTAATGCAGGTGCCGATGTCTTGTTCCGATCTTATCGCGGGTAGCCTTACACCCAAATCCCGAGCATCGGAATGACGTAGTTGCCAAGACTGCTTCTACCTGCCTCATCGGTTTAAGTACACCCAGGCAGCTACATAGTCTACTCAACTTTACCATTTCTGTGGCATGCGTTCGGGAAAGTTCAGAAAGCATCATCTCGCTCGAATTGATGCGCAGAGATGTCGTGGTTGTAGTCAATGCTATAGCCTGGAATTTTGGGATCCGCATACGACGAGAACATCGTGTAAAGCTGTCCCATTTTGGACGACATAAGTAGCGATGGGATGTCGCAGGATAAAACCTTGGTCTGTTACCAGCCCTATTACAGCGATACCAATGGGTTTTGGTTTCGAATAGAGGTATTGTTAATGTAGGGATAATTGTGAGTCGATGGAACTTTTCGGCATAGATCTCACTCTTTTATAATTCAAAAAATCCTAGCACAGCTATTTCATGATCATGCCCTACCTCATCAGCGTAGTACCATATACTCGAGCCTTTCAAAATACGTATGAGCTCTTTCGTAATTGTCGGACACCAGAAAGCAACAGGTTTTCATATTCTATGATTTTGGAACGCAAGAGAAGACAGTAGCACATGACTAACGCATTGTCAGCATTTGGAGAGCAAGAAAAGCAGGCACACCACATTTGATCGTCGCTTTTGTATTTCGAAAACTGTGTGTAGAAGAAGTCAGGAAATCGAAACGAAGGCAAAAGTCGACTTTATACCGCAGAACAACGCTGGGATGACCATAGCCGCATTGTCATCGTCGGGCATTATGCACCCTTTTGTCGTGTACATAGCGTTCAGCCGCGAAGACACCTTCTACTTTGATGTAGGCGACAGGGTCTCGCATCGTCGCAAACATGTATTTGGTCTCGTTGGCTCTTTGGACAGCTCTACTGAAGTTGGACGCGCATGTGCGTTCTATGCTGAACGAAAAGAAAAACCCTTCAGAAGCACATGACAAATACCGTGATGGCTTTTGATGCATGACAAGTTGATTGGTTCGACAAAGTAGAGGGTTGTGTATCACACGCGCTTTCCCAAATCATAACCTCGTCTCGTTTCATTTTGAGTGGCCGACTGGACGAGACGCGAACTCATGGGGTTACGATGGTGTTGTTTTGGTAGAAACGGCAAGGTAACGTAGTGCAAGAGTGAAGAAGAAAGACAGAGGATGAAGTCTTTTGTAGCAAAGCCAAGGGCGACACGCGCAGCCGCATGTGAGGAAAGAGCAATGCTCTAAACTTTAACTCCAAACGCATGGCCAGAAGTCGGCACGATTTTTGAGTCAGATCTTTGGACTGTTGTTCCATCAAAACGATTTTCGCACAATCTCATGGGTACCGTCTTTGACCATTTCAGCAGCCAGAAATCGAACATTCATGAGTGCTTTGTGCTTTTGAATAAAACACGAATTGTGTGTGTGATGGATGGAGAGAGGAAGCAAAGTCGCTGACAGCGTTTTATAGAAAGAATAGCGAGCATATCGGAAAAGGCTCAAGCCCGGCCGAAGCGGTGGGAATGGCGACAAGGCAGTGCCACAAGAAGTGGGTAGGGTGTGTGTCGCATTCTGCACAACGGTATTAGACGGGAAGTATTCATTGTCTTGAAGGCTATCTACTTGTTGTGGTTTTGTAGTATGTATGCCACACGGAATCTGGCCACCCTTGGGGGCGCCTGGCATAGGCGTGACCTCACAGGTTCACACGATGTTGCTTGTACATATCTGCCAACGACTTCGAAGGGATCAGCGGACTGTCGTCGTAAAGTGCATCGTATGCATTGTGCTAGGCATTAGCTGTAACCTGTGTGCTCTTCTCAGCCGTCCACCCACCAGCTTCCCATGCTGCTGTATTCTGTAGCGTTGCCTCACATCTGCTGCCTTCCTCTCTGAATTTCTGGCAGTGTGCCACTCCGTCGCGTGCGACGCGATTCCGAACAGAGAGGGAGTAGCGCATTCGCGCGGTGGCGGACTTTGGTGTTTCGCGTCGCGAATTGTGGGCACAGGGGTGCTGTAGGCGTGCCGCGATAGCCGTACCTCGACGCATTTTGCCACGACCGAAGGCAGAGCGAACGGCCTTAGTGAAATTGGTCGACGGATGCAATTGCTGACGCAAGGATATTTGCAGCGAGGTGCCGTTGTGGTCTCGGGCATGGAAGCCGGGTGCGCACTTCGTAGGAAGCTTCCGACAGCAACTGTCGTTCGTGACGTCATAGGCCCGCCGTGATCGCGCTCTGAGAAGAGATCATATCCTGATGTCGATGTTTATGAGCAATGCTTCTTGCCGACACCTCAAGGCGTGTTTTGTTGGCCGGACCGTAAGATCTTTCCCAACATCCAGTGCGCGAACTGCAGGGCTGGCATGATCATCGCAGCGACAAGCCGCGATACGCTGTCGTGCAACTTCCACAACACCGTCTCTTGCCATGCGTCCACGTCAATGTTCCTAGCTTGGTCCATTTGGTCTTCAATCTGCCGTCGCAATCTCACAGCTTTGCTTGGCAATTCAAGACCCAGGGCAAGGTACAGCCCAACAATGATCCATTCCATGATGACTTGCCTGCAAACATTAGCAAATGGGGCAGACTCAACAAAAAATCGTAATACTCACATGCACAATTGCAAAGTCACATTACCACTGATAACGTTGAAGCGCATGCTCTTCCAACCATCGCTACCTTCGTTGGCACGCCACCGCTCAAAGGCGAAGCACATCATGTAGACGACATCGACGACAAAGAACGGCAGGCTCATAACGACAGTCGTCAGAATCCGCACCTCGTCCCTGTCGGCAAGGTAAAGACGCGCTGAGATGACCGTGGTAGACCAGATGAGGACGAGGAAACACGCCAAGTACAGCGAAACACCGGCTTTAGTGGCTTCCGTCGCTGCAAAAGTGGGTCCGTCTCGAGAATCCGGATCGATGCCACCCGCCACGATAAGAATGAAGGAGATGATGAGCGGAATGTGGACCATGAGCAGGATCCATTGCATGCGTCGGCCCTTGGGGCGCGTGGTCGTGTTGAGCAAGCTACTGGTGGCCATAAACAACGGCGTGAGCCCCATGGTGGTGAGGATGGCAACACCGCTTTCCAGGGTCGTGTTCGGCGCTGAAAATTTCGGAAACTTGGTCGTGGCTGCCAAATCGAGCGACACCTGCGTGAGGCGACATATGGACAGCAGGGTGAGCCAGATCCATGGCGAGCTGTGGCCCAGGCCCTGGCGGATGATGAGCCAGATGGAGACGAGGAGGTAGAGGAAGAAGATGACAAGTGTCGCTATGTTGACAGTAGCCGGGTAGGTGACGATACCCACCTCATTTTGCGAGGACACCATTGAATGCGAGACATTGGGGTTCTGGACGATGGAGGTTTAGAGGCAAAGGGGACGCGGGTCTGGAGAGGTTGGCACCAGCTCCAAGAGGCTTCATCGCTAATTCCGCTGTCCGAGCGCTCCGCCTCAACGCCAAGCGCGCTATCACGTGTTGGCGTGCAAGCGGATTCCAGACCTCGAGCCTGTCATGACGTTGTGACGTGCATTGTCGCACACGATCGTAATTTCAATTTTGATTATCACGATTCACCCCTCTCTGCGTCTTCATCGCTCTCTATCGCATTTCCAACGACGATATACACGATATACGCGCCCGCACATCCGGACATTGGCATCGTCCGATCGCATCGGCATCGCGCGGAATTGCACTCGGTGATCACGCTGCAGGTTGCCACCTAGCGGGCAGTGCCCCCGTAAATCGTCATCGCACTAAGAACGGACCACCGTGCTGCGCCTATTCGACGTCAGTAATTTCACGTCACGATCTCCATGTTTGAACGCGTGTGGTGTTGCGATGAGGATGTGCGATGTTGCGCGTCGGGTGGGAAGCAAAGGATGGATTGTCAAATGTGTAGTTCTATGAAAAGTATGTATGCAACTGAAATGCAGGAAACCATCGCAATAAAACAGTACTCTCGCGCAACCTTCCGTACGCGTGGTTCTATCTCTCCAGCTCAGCCAGTCTTATCGACCGCGTCTTTTTTGTCCACTTTCTTCGCTCTTTAGGGTCGCGGTAGTCGAAGCCAGATACCGGATCGCTACTCAACTCCGAAGACTCGCGGTGTGATGCGACGCTCCAAGATCACTCAGCAAACACAGTCCATTACCGTCCGTATTACATGTCGAGCAAACGTGAATCGATGTTTGGGCTGGGCGCCACAGTCTCTTCAAGCCTGGACTCATTGTTCCTGCCCAACACATCGACACCGCTGTCTCCCCTCTCCATCGCCATGTCATTCCGGCGCCGTTTCTCCGCTGCTCGATGCGCAGCAGCAAGTGTCTCCTCCGTGTTCCTGGCCTCCCAGTATTGAGCGTGCATCTGCGCGCTCTGTCCACCCATCTCATCCTGCTGTGGATGAGCGTATGGTATCTGTTGCCAACCCGCCGCTAGCTGCTGCTCATGCAGCTGCGCCTGCTGGCAGGCCCAGTAGGCGGCTTCGTCCGGACGCTGCCACTTGTGGCGCAACTCCTCGAAGATAGGACCCCACGGAGGAGGCGGGAAGCGCGAGAGGAGATACACAAGATCGGTCCTCGAATCGTATCCTGGCTGCAATTCTCTTGCTCTCGTGACAGGTCGCCATAGAAGGGCATATGGGCGTGGTACCTCAATGCCCTCGATCTTGTCAAGGAGCAGCCCCTGATTATTCAGACGCTCAGTGAACTCGTTCTGCTGCTCCACCGTAAAGCCGGTGTAGTTGTCTGGGTAACATGGCGGCCCCATAGGCGGTGTTGGGGTGGGCATTACACCCATGTTGGCGCTGGGAGTGGACATTACCGCCATGTTATCGCCGAAGTTTGACATCTTGAACCGGGGAGACGATGAGACTGGGATTCAGTCTAGATAGTTGAGGTGTCGGTGGGGTGTGGAGTCTACAAGACTGGGTTTCAGTTGGGATGGTTGAGGTGTTGGCGGAGTGTGGAGGCTACAAGGTGGGTTAGAAAGGTGTTGTGTCAAGGTTGTAATAGAGGTAGGCGTCTTACTGCTGCTTTGGTTGTCACTAACAGGCTTGTAGTCTTCTGAAGTCACTAGAGCCGTATGAGTAGTCGCGGTCGATGAAGTCGATGGGAGCAAAAGAAAGTGCGTTCAGCTCACTTATATACTTTTACCTCGCACTTTCCTGTTCAGCGCGACCAGCCTAAGAACCGCCCTTAACTATGGTTAAGAATTGAAAGTTGTCTGACTCTTCTCTTGAAGACACTCCAACACGTGCTTTTGGAGTGAATTCCCGCGTAGCCATCACAATACCTCTCTCGCCATTTGTCCACCAGACCCACTTCAAGAGCAAGACACAGAGTTCAATAAAATCGGAATACCAAACCCCCCACATAAGCATAGTCATCGCTGCGAATTTCTCATCTCAGGCAGCAACCAGATAAAACGCCCAAGTCCTTCTGATATTGTGCGTCAAAGCGCAGAGTCTACCTTGGTTGCGGTCGCGTGACTACTTTTCTCCTTACCAATCGCACCTACCCAATTCCAATCACTAGCGGACCGGCCCGCGCGCCAGTCACGCAGCGGACATTTACTCCGGCCTAAATTTGACGACAGCACTGCGTATGGACTGGGTCGGATGAGGATGCATCGGATAGTGCATCGATTGTTCGAAGCCTGGAAGCGACAATGAGTCAAGCTTACTCATGGAAGTTCTACAGGACAACTTGTGTTCTCGCTATTAGGCTTGAGACCGCCGCATGTAAAATCTGATGCGTCCAACTCATGTCTCTCAACTGAGACATGTAACTCGATTCTATTACTATCCGTCTCCATCTCATGCCTCGGCGTATCAACGCCATCAAGTTCACGTCCGCAGCCTTTTCTTCCACACGCCTCTGCCTTTGCTATATTGCCTGTGACCTCATTCGCTGCAGTGATTTTCTTCCGTTTAGAAACCAAGCGCACACCTGCGACTACACCGACTAAGAAGAGCGCGCCGCACGGTATACCCGCTGCCAAGGCAATCTTTGCGCTGAGAGAGAGGCGCGAGAGATGCGTTGGTGCTGCTGTGGGCGCTACCGACGGAGTCTGAGTCGAAGTGGCATTTGCCCTACTATTACTGGCGCTTGCAAGATCCGACTCTTGTGCTCCACTCTCCTCGCCTACCTCAGTAGCGGTGGCTTCAAAGCCCTCGCTCACGGTAAGAGCAGATTCCGCGGCGTTTGAAGACGCAGGCGTAGGCAGTAGCGACACAGTCATAGTCATAGTCTCCTCCTCCACCCATCCAGCATCGCTATCGCTCGTACTCGTCCCCGTGGTCGCAGCACTCGACTCCACAACCGTCGTGATTTCCCCAACTGATGTCGTCATCGACGAAAATGAATCAGATGGAGGGCTTGTCACATGCCTCGCATCCCCACACAACTCCACCAGATATTCCTCCGCTTCCCCATATTCTTGCGCGGTGCACCCCGCATTCAAGTTATCCGTTTGTTCGCTGCAGATGCCCAACTTCATAGCTTCCTTATTCTGGGCTAGGCAGGGGCACGCGGCCACATTTGAACTACAGCCGCGGAAGTTGGTAGTTTCCATGACGCATCTTTGCTGTGGGAATGGTGAGTGAGGGGTGCGGAAGAGGCGAGGGAGGTGAGGAAGGAGGAGCTGGCTGGCTTACGGCGCATGCAGAGAGATCGGATATCTTCACTGCGGAGGCTTGGGGAATTGGAAAAATTATGACCGAGAGGAGAGGCACGAGGAATGTGGAGAAGGAGTACATTATCGACAGTTTCGCTGTTGTGTGTATTATGATAAAAGAACCATAGAGTGTAATGCATCCTTTCTAGGTTTTTCCAGCAGATCAGCATGTGAAGAGCAGCAAGGCGCAGCACACAACACCCATCCGCATCCGGATGAAAAAAAGGTCACAACGTCTTCATTGACAACACCCGAATTTCGAGATGAACAGCAAGGCTCACCCTTGATCTTGGCATACTTACCGAATAGTCATGATCATATACGTTTTATTCATTCCTCGTTATCAACTACTATTCAAGCAGTCCCATCCATCGATCTTGTTCGTCCCCTGGTAAGACATGCTTCGTATGCCATGTGTAATCTCAATGACGTATCCAGTACGATACCAATAGCCTTCTCTGTCCAAGCCATGTTATCCTCCTATCTCCATTTCCTCAATCGATCTCTTCTTATCCAATTTACCTGCGAAAGACCACCAATTGCTCAATGGTCGGGAGCACATGCATTACATGGCTCGCCACCAGCACGCTCTGTCGCAACAGTGATGTTGACTAGACCGCACGACTCCTTCCCAATAGTGTAGTCTGAGTAGTCGACGGGAGCGGCCTCGTAGGTCTGGCGTTGGTCGGGTCGGCCCTGTGGTGCGGTAGGGTTGGGGAACGGGGCGGTTGCATCGATAGGCACACCGGCAGCGTTGCCACGACCGCCGTACAGGCCATTGCCACGGTTGTTGCGGTGACCATGGCGGGGTACTGTGTAGTACGTGGGAGGATGCGCGTTGCGAGGGCCAGATGGGAAACTAACCCAGGGCTGTGGGTTAACACCAAAGTGACGGGGAGCGTTGCTGTTGGCGCGGTTGCTGTTGGCGGTCTGTTCGATCAAACTAAGCTGGTGTGCGAAAGGCTGGTTTGGGACAGGCTCGAGTATCTGCGGGGGTGACATCATGCGACTAGATCCTGGATGGTAGTTTTCTTGGTGAGTCTCCTCCTGACGTGGTCTTGTAGGGAGCGGCGGAGGCGGCATCAGCTCTGCGGATGTGATGCGCTGCTTCGCTGCCGCCGAAAGAGGAGTTGCTGGTCCGGGGTTGTTGATGGGGACGGCCTTTGAGGAATAAGGCGCAGCATCGGCTGGAGAGGAGATAGACTTGCGCTGGTTCTTGTTCGGCTTGTACTTCTTGGGCGACTTTGGACGACCGTTGCGGTAACCCTGTTCGTAAGCAAACTGTACGCCGTACATGTACCAGAGGAAAGGTACGCCGTTTCTATCGAGCACCGTCGCATCCGGCAGGTCGGCTATGTCGAGAGATTGACTGAGAGGTGTGTTCTCCGTGGTAGCGTCGATCGGACTGGTCGTGGTCGGAGGCTGAGGTACGAATTCCGTAGCAGTTGCGCGAAGGTCCGAGCCCATACTAGATTGCGATGAACGCCCGCTGTCTGCTTGATTACGATCACTGGGTACATACCGTTCACTTCGCCCTCTGGATGAAGACGCGTTCTCGACGTCATCGACTCGGTTCGTGGAGTCGGAAACAGCCTCGTGTTGTTGGGTGTTGAGGTTCAGGTTCCCTATGTCCAAATTGTGAGCCATCATGACGACGATCGTGGGTACGCTGATAGGAGGTGTGAGCGTCGTACCATGAGCAAGACTTGTCGGGACACCCCATGGCACGTTCTTGGGTTGTACAGCGTTCTGCGCTGCCTCTTGATCGACCTTGAACGTTTGCGCGTGCTCGTAGCTAGCATCACATCCCGGTGCGTCGGCTGGCTGGTCTGGGCTGGTGACATCGGCAGAAATGGCAGGACCTTTGCCGCGAGTAGACTGTACTTGGTCATCTTCTGAAGCGACATCAGTCATTCCACCAGGTTTGTGCGATCCTGAACTTCGCGAGATGATCGGAGTTGAACCGGTGCTGTCGACGGTGCGAACGTGGCGTAGAGGGGCCGGCGCAGGCGTCGCGGGTAGGGGGATCTGGATAGCATCTAACTGGGCTGCATCCATCTGCATGGCTAGCTGTAGCTCCTTGATCTTCTTCTGCAATGATTTGACAGATTCGACGCGCTTGATGGTGCGTACGGGGGGTGCGGTCTTGCTGGCGGCGCCGGCTCGGGGAATACGCGACACCTGCGTGGGTGAATCTGGACTCAGCGGACCATCGGCAAGGCGGGAGTCCATGGAATCTTCACGATTGTCACGGCGAGGCGTAGGAATGACAAGCGAAAGCCTCGGTGTCAATGACTTTCGCTTTCCTTCAGCGTTCGTTCTCGCGGTGTCAGATCGCGGACTACCGGGCTCGTAGTGCACCTGCTCATCATCGCTATCAGCATACAAGTCAACACTGGGGACGTCAAGGTCTTCAGGGTTCTCTGCAGCAGATTGGAAGCTATGCTCCGTGCTTGCAGGACTCCTTACTGGCGACCCCTGTACAGTGTGAAACGAAGCCCTGCCGGTGGATGTCGCAACGCTGCTAGATGCTCGCGAGTGTCCTGCAGAAATCGAGTCGGTATTTAGGTGTGTCGGCTTTGTCGGCGACATGCGAAGGGAGAAGCTGGACTGATGGCGGGCGCTGCTGCGGAGAGGTGACCCGGTGGGACTGTTCCATGGCCGCTTCGTTGGAGAGCCATGCAGTCTGCTGGGGCTGAGCGGAGACGTGGGCGATGCTATGGTGCTATCGACAGTAGCTAGGGCTTCCTTTGTAAGAAACGTTGCGCCTTCCTTGCCATGAGCTCTACTGAGATCGACGGAACTGCGCGTTCCACGCAATGTCTTGACTTCATCCGGAGAGTCACTATCCCATGCTGTCTTGGATGTCCTTGCCTTGGCACGTTGCGCTGTTGCGAGATTGGGGGCAGTACTCTTCGTAAGCCATTGGGCGGGTATGGATTTGCGGGGACTGCGTCCTGATGTACCGATGGTATACGTATTGTACTGGTGCTCCGCTTTCTGTACAGCAACGTTGTCGATATCGGAAGGTGACTCGGTTGGGTTATCGTTAGATACTTCGCAGACGTCAGAGTAAGCGCCATAAGACTCAAATCGAGCGACGAGCTCAGTAACCATACCATCGTGAGTGACCTCCATATGCAATGAAGACTGCGGATCCAGTGGGATATCAATGTTGACGTTGCTGTAACCAGGTGTATCCAATACAGGTCTAGCGTCATTGAGAGTGTTTGCCCGCCTTGCACGAGATCCGTCGGCAAGAGCAGAGCGCGGGATGAAGGCAGTCTGATGATGGACCTGTGCATCTCGCTCCTGGACGATGGCGTCCCAGGTCGGCGCGCGGCCAGCTTCAGACGGCGTGAGAGTGGACATGTTGTTGTTGCTATGCTGTGACTGGAACTGCTGCCGAGTATGCGAATGCGACTGCGAATGCGATGAACTACTGTTGTTGGCGGATGATGCTGGTCGAGGAGTAGATGAGCCAGACTGAGTGTCGGGGTTGCCGTCTGCACTGGGGTCGTCTGGCAAATGACTGACGCTGCGACTATTAGCAAGGATATGATAGTGCTGGAGAATGGAGTGCTTACGTTCTAGGCAAACCAAGTGTTATCGCGTTGCTGCAGTAGGATATTCTGGTGAACTCGGCGTGGTCACAGACCGCGACGTAAGAGTAATGATATAAACACATGATGACGGGTAGCGGTTGTCAACCACAACCAGCAGGAAGGGTCGACGTCGACTGTCTAAAAGATGTGTAGAGGGAAGGAGGAGGGGAGGTGGGAGAGAGCGCGGTGTTGGGCGTGGTGCGCGACTAGCAGGCGCGAGGTAAACAAACGGAGGTGACGGACGCGGAAGGAGCGCGTGATCGCAGGTGAAGGTGGACTTCAATCAGGAACGTGGAATCCGCCCTACCTCGAGCACATTGTAGTAGACTAGGCATATTGTTTGCCGCGTAATGCCACGCGTGCGGGATTAGATCAAGTGCATACTTTACGGTTTCCTGTCCATGTGAGACGTAGCAGTGAAAACAATGACGAGTTGAACAAGCGTATGAGTAGTCATGGGATATCAACGATGTCAAAGAGAGATCCAGCCCCGCAATCCTCGACCCTCATGATTACCCTAACGAATAGATTGGGAGACATTCTTGAGAGTCGTAGTATAAGTAAAGGCTCTGTTTAGAACCTCTTCTTTTTCTTTGCATGTGCCTGCTTCTTCGCTGCCTCTTCATTCTTCCGCTTCAACTCAGCGCGCTTCCGCTCTGCTTTCTCCTCAGGTGTCTCTTCGTGAACCTCCTCGACGGGCGTCATCTCCTTCATTCTCGGCGGAGACGATGGAGGCTCGGCAGTAGGAGATTGCGTTGCTCTGAAGCGTTGGGTACTTGGTGAAGCTGTCATATCACGTTGCGAAGCACCATCCTCGGCTTTCTTGCCCTTACCACCAATCCTGAACGGCTTTCGTGTCTTCTTTGGCGTTGTCGCTTGGCTGGGCTGGGAAGGTGGCACAGACTCCCTGGTTGGTCGGATCTCTGGTTCCGGCTCTACATCCGCGGATTTTGGTGGCGATGGCGGAGGAGACTCGGTTGCTCTTTTCGACTTCCCACTTATTCGAAAGCTACTTACCTTTGGCTTCTGCGCTGTGGGTGTAGGCACTTTTGGCGAGGAACGGGGTTCCGGCGTGGGCGTCCTTTTCCGAGTTGGCTTTTGTGGGGTCCGACTTAGACTCTGGCTCTGACTCTTGGGAGGCGCATCCAGATCCTCATCGTCTTCAGTACTGTCGTCTTCCGTCTCACTGGCCTTGTCGAGGGGCGACGATGGTAATGGCGCCGGAGTCTGTGTTGGCCTTTTGCCGAGTTCGCGTGTCTGAAAGTCTTAGTCATTGCGCGGACAGTAATGCTCCACACCCTTACTTTGAAGTTCACATGAGTCTCAAACTCTTCTTCTGTTTCATCACCAGAATCCGTAGCTGTTTTTGCTGGCTTTGATGCCACAGGAGGCGTTTTGGCCTTGGTTTTGACTGGGGCTTTCGGCATGCTCAACTTAGTAGGTACAGCAGTCCACCATGTAGTCTCAAAATCACCCGACTTCAACTCCGAAGGTACTATCGGAGTGCTCTGTGCTAGTGCTTCCTGGAACAAGCCTAGCGTCGTCAGGTTTGTGTCTTTCAATTGCTCGGTATCCTGCCGCCATGCTTCCTCGTGGAAAGACCGTAAAGCGGGAACGTGCTTTTCCGCTTGTTCACGTTTGACTTTCCTTCGTCCCGCCTTCGTTCCACCAGCGCTAGGGAATGCGGCAGCCAAGTCCAAGCCATGAGAGTCGAACTGGTCCACAAGTCGAGTGATTACCTTGTCTTTGGCGGCGATTGTCGAGATGAGCCCGGTAATGCGTTCATTCTGAATGTGGGAAGAGACAAGTAGCGGCAAGATGAGCTCGTCCTTGAGATCGGCAGACGTTCGCTTCTCCAAGCGAAATTTCCATGTCAAGCGACCAAGAGGCTCTGGAAGGCCTATGCTGGTGTGTAGAGTGATGCCATCTGTTCCATCACGAGCGACACGACACATTGAACCCTCCGCACTCAGCAGGGGCTTCTTGACATTCTCGAGAAGGATGGCAACCTGCGCCGCGTCGTGTTTGCTGACTTCGATTGGCGATTGTTCCAACGCAGCCCGCTTGACGACGTCGTCCACGTTCAGCTCTTCGCTCCAGATGTTGCTGAGATCGGTAAGATGAACTGTGTACGAGTCCAGGTCGAAGGCGGGTTTGATGAGTAGCTGGGGAATCTGCTTGCCGTCGGGCTGCTCAGAGAGCTCCAGCTCGCGCCAACACGACATCTCAACCTGGAGAGAACGAAGTGATAGAGTGCATGTTTGCAGATGAGCGCAGACGCGTGACACACGCGACCTTTGTGGGGTTTGAGCTGGCACGTGAAGCGTAGCTGAGGCGCAGGTGCAAGGCAACCGCGCCAAGACTGTTCCTAATCGGGAGTAGATCCCTGCGCGCGCGGAAGGCAGCCGTACGTCACCAGCCTCGGCCAAAGATTTCGCGATCTGCGCCGGCCAGACCAAACCTCAACAACACATCTCCATACTACAAATCCGGCCTATTGTGAAGTATGTCGTCACGTGAACCTCCCTGGCGCAACGAGCGCAATCGCCTTCCCCAGCGCAACGCGCCGTCTTCGTCAATTCCAGCGAAGCGGTCAGCCGACTCACGAGCACACGACAACCCTGCGAAACGGTCGACAAACGCGGCAGAGGAGGCGTGGGTGGCAGACGAGGACCGCTTCGTGCTGCAGCAGGCCAAGAAGAAGGCGGCACTACGCGTCAAGGGCGGGCGCGCGAGACCCATCGACTGGCTGGCCGTCACGCTGCGCTTCATTGATCCCACGGAGAAGTCGATGCTGGACGAGGAGGTGGAAGATCACGAGCTAGACATAGTCGATCCGGAAGGTGTGCTGGAGGGGCTCAACAATGAAGATCTCGCAGAGCTGGAAAAGGAGATTGAGAACTACCTGACCCTCGAAACGAGCAGGAGTAATCGCGACTACTGGAATGTAAGTACAATACACGTCGCGATATTATACGCTGCTAACCCCTCAGTCCCTCAAAGCAATCTGCAAAGACATCCGCCGCAAATCCAAATCCTCCAAGTCCGAAGCCCGCGGCACCAGCTCCGTGGCCGCCGACATCGATCAGCTGCTCTCCCCAAAGACGTTCGAACAGCTGGAGACGCTAGAGGTGCAGGTCAAGAAGAAGCTCGATTCGGACGAGCCAATCGACTACGACTACTGGGAACAGCTGCTGCGAAGTCTGCGCGTGTGGAAGGCCAAGGCGAAGCTGCGGCGCGTCTCGCAGGAGATTGTCCGAGAGCGACTGCAGACATTGCGCAAGCAACAGGCTGACGCAGCTGCATCTGTCCAGAACAGGATATACGCTATGCTGAGCGGCACCGATGAGGCGAGCGAGGCGCAGCCAACGACTGTAGAATACGATGCAGCCTTCGATCCCCAACCCCTACTGAAGCTGCGCGCCGAAGACAAGGCGCTACCACAGACGGATGAGAAAGCGTTCCTGGAGAGTCTGGCCACCGAAAGGGGAAAGATCAAGAAGATTGGCTACGTGCCGTCACAGGCCAAATCCAGCGACCCAACCACCACCAGCAGTCAGCCCACGACGAGCCAGACGGTAACAACGAGCGCCTCACGATTTGCGCCTGTCGAGAAAGAAGACTACTCCAAGGCAACCATGGCGCTATACGAGAGGGAAGTCGCGCGAGGCGTGGAGGAAGGCGAGGAAATCTTCACCGCGGAGGAGGAAGTCACGACCGCCCGGCCCCAGTGGGCTGGCAGCTACAAGCCCCGGAAACCCCGCTACTTCAACCGTGTGCAGATGGGCTATGAATGGAACAAGTACAACCAAACGCACTACGATCACGACAACCCCCCACCAAAGGTCGTGCAGGGCTACAAGTTCAACATCTTCTACCCCGACCTCATCGACAAATCAAAAGCACCCACCTACAAGATCGAACGGGAGAACGGCCGCAAAAAGGGCCAGTCCTTCGCTCCGGCCGGTGAAGACGACACGTGCCTCATCCGGTTCATTGCCGGCCCGCCCTATGAGGATATTGCCTTCCGCATCATCGACAAGGAATGGGACTACAGCGCTAAGAGAGAACGTGGGTTCAAGAGCAGCTTCGACAAGGTACGTCCAGTCATACTCAATGTACTAGCTAGTGGCTAACGCAATGCAGGGCATCTTGCAACTCCACTTCCAATTCAAGAAGGTATGTCAAGATCGCATGACCGGAACGGCATCACACTGGCATCACACTAACATCGTGGCAGATATACTATCGAAAGTAGCTAAGCCCCCTTTGGGTGACATGGACGCTTCACAGCCTACCCCGCTGTACCTGGCCCCTCTTACACCAAACGGCGCGATAGGATAAGAAATAGGGCGGACGTTGCACAGGACCCTCTCCATCGATAGGTGCTTCTTGAGTATCAATTCCAGGCTTCTCGTTGCGCTATCACCCGTGACCACCACATTGGCGGTGACGTTTCAACCGGCTCTCATATCCTCGCAACGTGCAGCATCTCCATTTTCGGGTCCGTTGGCGGTGTACACTCCTCTTCGAGCGGTGACAGGGCCGTGACGAGGGCCTATCACGGATGACTATTGCTTGGGCAAAGACTACGAATCAGCTTCACCGGATGAAAAATGGTAGAAGTCGTGTCACAGGCCTCTGTGGGGTCTGCTCCCAAACGGTTGCTCGCCTACTGCCTCTTTGCAGGCGCAGCACATCATGTCACATCCTTGCGCCTGCAGAACATATGCCGTTAATGGCCTTTTTGGGTTAGAGTTTGCAGGC